CCCTACATAACAGATTGCCCCCCTACATATCAGATTGCCCCTCCTTACATATCAGATTATTTCCTGTACATATCCGATTGTCCCCTTTACATATCATATTGTCCCCCTACAAATCAGATTGCCGGGGCAGATTGTCACCCCTACATATCAGATTGCCCCCTCCATCACATCAGATTGCCCCCTTACATATCAGAGTGTTTCCCCTACATATAAGATTGTCCTCCCAGATTTGTCGCCTCCTACATATCAGATTGTCCCCCTACATATCAGACTGACCCGCCCCTGAGAGGCTGTGGACCTGTCAATCAGTTACTCACCACTCATGTTGACTTGATATGCTGTCTAGATGTTCCCTCCATAATATATCATCTTCAGTCTTATTGAAAAACATTAACTTCACTTTCCTGGAAAACAGGATCACATTTTTCAATGATACGATCACATGTGTACAAAATGGTATATATTTTACACTATAACCCGTATAAGTTCACTGCCTTCTACCTGATTTATATGTGACAGGACATCAGACAACAATATTGTGACTGTGACAAAGATATCAGTTACACAGAGAACATGTGGTTGTAGATATTTAGATGTCATAAGACACACATCAGTCAGTTACTGTCCTAGCTTATCAGATGTTTAAAGGTTTTCACGACTTTCTGTCAGTTTTTTTCAAAACGCTTTGTTTCCAGTTGTATACTGTCTTGACTGTGTTAAACAGACACAAAATGGCCATCATCCACAGTGCTATAATCATACAGATACAGTGATATAGAGACTGAGGGCCTTACTAAGGGGACAAAGTGATAGAGATTGAGGGCCTTACTAAGGGGACAAAATGAGATATAGAGACTGAGGGCCATACTAAGGGGACAAAGTGAGATATAGAGACTGAGGGCCATACTAAAGGGACAAAGTGATAGAGATTGAGGGCCTTACTAAGGGGACAAAATGAGATATAGAGACTGAGGGCCATACTAAGGGGACAAAGTGAGATATAGAGACTGATGGCCTTACTAAGGGGACAAAGTGAGATATAGAGACTGATGGCCTTACTAAGGGGACAAAGTGAAATATAGAGACTGAGGGCCTTACTAAGGGGACAAAGTGAAATATAGAGA